CATCAGCCCAGAGCCCGACGCGGGGCTCGAACTCAACGGACCGCGAGATCGTGACCTGGCTGAAGTCGGACGCTCAACCGACTGCGCCACCCAGGCGCCCCTCAAGATTGTTTTGACTATTCTGGGTCCCTTACATTTCCATATGAATTTTAGAACAAAGTTGACACTTCCTGCAAAGAAGGCAGCTTAGATTTTGATAGGGATTACATTGTATCTATAGATTAATTTGGGGATTATTGACATCTAATATTAAGTCTTCCAATCCATGAACATGGGATGTTTTTCCATTTATTTAGGTATTCTTTAATTTCTTTCTGTGATGTTTTATAGTTTTCAGTATACAAGTCTTGTACTTAAAAAAAGAAAGTATTCCTAAGTATTTTTAATGTTGCTTATTATATTATTATTATTATTATTACTAAAGTGAGCTCTGTGCCCAATGTGGGGCTTGAACTCATGGCCCTGAGATCGAGAGTTGCATGCTCTACTGATTGAGCCAGTAGGCACCAGTGTTTACTTATTTTTATTGTGGGAAAATAGATACAACAAAAAGTTTTGTCACTGTAACCATTAAGTATACAATTTAGTGGCATTAAGTACATTCACAAAATGTGCAACTATCACCATTATCTATTTATAAAATTGTTCCTCTAGGGGCGCCTGGGTGGCTCAGTCGGTTAAGCGTCTGACTTCAGCTCAGGTCATGATCTCAACATCTGTGATTTCAAACCCTGTGCCGGGCTCTGTGCTGACAGCTCGGAGCCTGGAGCCTGCTTCAGATTCTGTGTTTCCCTCTCTCTCTGCCCCTCCCCCGCTCATGCTTTGTCTGTCTCACTCTCAAAAATGAATAAATGTTAAAAAAAATTTTTTTAAATTGTTCCTCTCGTAATTGTCCTCTTCCCCTCCCCTCCCCTACCCAAACTTTACATATAATTGACATGTAACATTGTGTAAATTTAAGGTGTACAATGTGTCAATTTGATGTAGTTACAAATTGGAAAATGATTACCACCATAGTGTTTACTAACATTTCCATCACATCCCATAATTACCATTTCTTTTTTATGGTGAGAACATTTAAGATCTATGCTCTTAGCAGCTTTCAAGTATATAATGTAATATTATTAACTGTAATCACCATGCTGTACATTAGATCCCCAGAACTTATTCATCTTATACTTGGAAGTGTGTGCTCTGTAATGAATATCTCCCCATTTCCCCTACTCTCCAGTCCCTGGTAACCACCACTCTTGTTTATATGAGTTTAGGTTTTTTATTTTTATTTATTTACTTAAAAATTTTTTTTGGTGTTTATTTTTGAGAGGGAGAGATACATAGAGCGTGAGCAGGAGATAGGCAGAGAGAGAGGGAGACACAGAATTGGAAGCAGGTTCCAGGCTCTGAGCTGTCAGCACAGAACCTGATGTAGGGCTTGAACTCAGGAGCCTTCAAGCTGTGAGATCATGACCTGAGCCGAAGTCAGCCGCTCAACCGACTGAGCCACCCAGGTGCCCCGAGTTTAGGTGTTTTAGATTCTACATATAAGACACTTAAGTGAGATTATACAGTGTTTGTTTTTCTTTGACTTATTTCACTTACAATGCCTTCAAAGTCCATCCATGTTGTTGCAAATGGCAAGATTTCATACTTTTTTAATGGCTAAATAATGTTCCATTGTGTGTATTTGTGTGTGGGTATATATACACTTAACGGACTGAGCCACCTGGGCGCCCCCCCCTTTGACTGATTTTTATAGATATACAGTAAAACCTTGGTATGCGAGCCTAATTCATTCTGGAAACATGCTTGTGATCCAAAGCACTCGTATATCAAAGCAAATTTCAAGAACCATTGGCTCAGTTGTTATCATGTGACATTTGGCGTTACATACTACTCATACACGTACTACTCTTGCAAGACATCACTTGTTTATCAAGTTAAAATTTATTAGAAATGTTTGCTCGTCTTGTGGAACACTCACAGAACAAGTTACATGCAATGCAAGGTTTTGTCGTACTTAATTTTACTGCTTTTGTGCTTTTTACTTTTCTTACTTTGCCTGTGGTCTGCTTATGACCTTTCCTTTCTACTCAAAGTCCCTTTTAACATTTCTTGGGGGTGGTTTAATGGTCATGTATTCCTTAACTTTTGTTTGAGAAACAATCTGTTCTATTCTGAATCCTAGACTTGTTAGAGTATTCTTTGCTGCAGGTTTTCTTGTTTCAGCACTTTGAATATGTCATGTCATTCCCCTCTGGCCTGTTAGGTTTCTGGTGAAAAATCAGCTGTTAGCCATATGGGTTTCCCTTGTATGTAACTGTTTTCTTCTCTCTTACTGCTTTTAAAATTCTCTGGGTAT